GGTTCGTGCTAAGATTTGCATGCGTTTCGGAGGATCACTCAAGTGCGCTCACTACCAACCGGAGGTCGCAAATTTACAAAACCCTGCGATTTTAACCAGGTACCAAGCCTCACTGTCAACATTGCTTGGCCCAACTATTGACGCTGATCTCGATTCGCAGTAGGCGCAGATCAAAGATGCCTTAGTTCCCGTCAGTGTCGACACTTGTGAAGTTGCCCGTCACCCACAGAAGCAGGGGATTTCCGTCATCTCGTTGTCGCTGATGGACAAACGCCACTTGATCCCGTCGGATTCCAGACACAGTGAAAAACGCCAATCCCTGGATCGAGTTGCGCAGGGGTCTGCAAATGGACCGCGAAGCTTGGTGGTGTGAACGTGCTAGGGAGATGGAAGTTACTAGTCTCTCTGGTAATACCAGAAAAATTTTCCATCTCATTCGAGTCACCGAAGGTGTTCGATCTGATATAAGTGAAACAATATGCGAAGAGGATGGCACCTTAATTACCAGTCTTCAACGGCGGTTGGATCGATGGGCCGAACATTTTGGCTCGCAATTTTGTTGGCCCCCACCTCCATCTGCTACCTTTGGCGCTCGCACTGAAGCCGAGTGGTCTACCCCCACAGATCCTCACTCTTACAAGGAAAGCGAGCAGGATCTCCGCCGGCCCTGATGGTCTTCCTCCAGCTCTATTTAAAAATGGTGGCGCTTCACTGGCTCGAGAACTCACTGCTTTGTTCCCGAAAGTTTGGTCGAAAGATGAAGTTCCATCAAAACAGATGGAAACTGGGTGTTGCCCGCCCGAAAACACTGCAGTGTTTTCGGGCGGGCAACACCAAATTCCCATCTGCTTTGAGTACGGTCCCAGTGATCGCAATGACTAAGGTTCGCTTCAATGTTAATCAGGGTCCATTACATTGAGATTGCGCGTCGCAATCAAATCATACAACGTGCAGCCCAAACCTGATCCTCCAGTTAGGAAGTTCCATCAACTTGAGGTGAATGGATAGTTGTCCCCATCTTCAAAAATGGCCTGCGTACAATCTGCTCAGACTACAGGGGCATAAGCTTAGTCCCTGTTTTTTGCAAGCTGCTGGCACTTATCATACTTCGTAGGCTATCCCCAACACGCGAATCGTTGCAGCGAGAAGAACAAGCTGGGTTTCGCCCTGATCGCGGTTGCATCGATCAAATCTTCACACTCCGCCAGATTCTCGAGCTCCGCCATGTGTATCAGGGGCCAACGACTGCTGTGTTCCTGGATATCCGTGCAGCCTTCGATTCTGTCGATCGGACGGTACTGTGGCACTGCCTACTGAGGAATGGCGTCCCCGAGAAGTTCGTCTCCATACTTAGCGCTGTCTATGGTCTGACCTAGGGCAGGGTTAGGGCTTATGGCAAGCTTTCACCTACCTTTGTGGTCTCCAGTGGAGTTCGACAAGGATGTCCTATCTCACCGTTTTTATTCAACTTTGCCATTAAGGATGTCCTAAAGAAAGCTCTGGGTGATTGGTTGAACGCTGGCGTTGGGCTCCTCCCAGGTAGTCAAGTTGCTGATTTGGATTATACTGATGATATAGTTTTGCTGGGTGACGATCCACACGTCATCCAACTTGCACCAAACCGCTTGGTGATTAAGGCATCGACGTATGGTACGTACTTTCTGCCATCTAAATGCAAGGCTCCCTTTCAAGACTGGCAAGAGACTGTGCCTGCACTCACTCTTGGTTGTGAGACACTAGAGGTTGTAGAGAGCTTTGTCTACTTGATAGGTTGCATCATTGAAGGCGGGGCTGTTGGATACAAGATTTCGATGCGCATCTCGAGAGCACGCCTCACTTTCTTTAGGTTGAGGCACTTTTGGCGTCGTCACGACATTCGTCTCTCCATTAAAGGGCGGGGCATTGTGCAAATGTTCCTGCTGTGCTGTTGTACGGGTGCTAGACCGGGCCTATTCGTAAAGATGACTTGCGCATGCTATCCGTCTTTGAGCACCGCTGTCAGCGGTGCATTGCTCGTGTGTGGTGGAGAAACTATGTAAGCAATGTGGAAGTTAGACAGCGTGTCTTGGGAGGAGGAACCCACTCGCTCGAGGACCTCGTCTCACTGCATCAACTGCATATATATATATATATATATATATATATATATATATATATATTTATATATATTTATATATATGCTTGGCGGCATCCGGTTTCGGATTGGCCTGTGACTGTGGCCAGCCACAGGACGCCTGCACCTACAGAGGGACCACGGATCGCTTGCACTGCACCACCCACAGCTCCATCCACACACCCCATATCCAGTATAAACCAGACGGAATAAGACCGGGAGGCATGTGGATGGGAGCCACGTTTCATCAACGGAGCCGGCCCACACTCCTTCGCAGGCAAACACAAGCACGCTGTATTTGGGGAAGCAATCGCACACAAGGCGGTGGTTGGACCGTAGTCCACTCCACACTGAGTGCATGGAACCACTCTTTGATCGAATGTGGCGCCGCTTCTGCCTACGTTCTTTGCAGGACCGGTCGTCGCTTCGGTAGTGGTCCCGAGTGGCCTCACTCATGGCTCACTAGGCCTGCCTGACTCAGGCACTCGCGACCGCATGTATTACAGCACCATGCGCTCGATGTCGATGGAGTACAACCCATCGGTACTTGGCGTCTTCGCACTTGCCGCTTCTTCTCTGCGTGTATGAGGTCTTTCTCCTGCATTTCGGCAACTGCCTTCGTGATTAGATCGCGCCATGCACGCCGATCAACCGCCTTCGATTCCCATTACCTGCAATCAAGATTAGAACGTGGGAGGCTCACTTTGATCATGTCCTGGCAAGGTAACTTTGGTTTCCCCACATGCCGCTTCCCAATACTCAGCTGACCGTACAAAAGTTGTTTCGGTATCCGCGTCGATTCCATACGGCTCACATAATCGAGCCACCTCAGGTGTCTCAATAAAAGTATGCAGTCTACTGCATACATTGCACCACGGCGCAACACTTCCGTGTCTGCAACTCTGTCGCCCCAGCCGATGCGCAAAATCCGTCGCAGACACTGCTGATGGAACCGCTCGAGATATCACACATCCCGCCGGTACATCGTCCACGTTCCACTGCCGTATAGAAGAACGGACAGCACTATGGATTTGTACACCATCAGCTTCGTGCCAATGGTAAGCTGATGGTTGTTCCACACTCGGTACTCAAGCTTCCCGAATGCCGCCGCTACCTTCGACACGCGGATATGCAGCTCAGTATGTATCTGCTGATCAGTCGACATCACACTCCCAAGGTAGCAGAAGCGGGAGGTGGTTTCCAATAGTTCAGCACCAATGCTGATGCGCGGCAATAGTGAAGATTGCACCTCCGGTGAAGGCTGAAAGAGACAGACAGTTATGCTTGTGTTGTTGGTGAGCCCGAATTTGGCCGCTGTCGAAGTCAGAGCACTAGTCATGTTCTGCAACTCATCCGCGCTGTGTGAAAACAACGCGCAGTCGTCAGCAAACAGCAACATACGGATAGTGTTCTCACAGACTAGAATTCTCACACCGAAATGACGGATGTTCAGCAACCCACCATCAATACGGCGCTCCACACGAACACCGTAAGCACAAGCGGCATTAAAAGCACAAGACATAATGGCATGAAGATATATATTAAACAGGGCAGGAGCTAAGACACAGCCTTGCTTCACACCAGAGACAACTGGTGGAGGTCTCTCCACTCAGCTGCACCCGCGTTCGCATACCACTGTGCAGACATTTAATTAAACTTACAAACTTACGCGGGTAGCTAAACTTACCCAACACCAGCCACAATGCCTCGCGGTTCATCGTGTCAAATGCCTTGGTGAAATCAACAAAAAGTGAGCATATATATATCCTCCGAGATGTATTATTCTCCGGTGTCGTGTCTCTCAGGAACATACCTCTATTATATTGTATTGTGTATGCGACTGATGAAAACAATCGAAATGTTGTCATATCGCAATCTAGGTCTTCTTTCCAGTTTAAGAGACAAAATTCATGGTGCAAGAGCACTTCGATATTTCCTTCCGCGGAATTGAGCAGGCGCCCTAACGCGCACAAATGATGGGTGCTCAACAGTGCACTTCGCCGCGTTACACCTAAGCATGTGCTAAATGGACCACCTGTAAGCCCTGCGGAGGTCACTTTGCAATGCCATGCGATTTGCTGTTATGACAGCCCCCATGCGTTGAGGTCGCTAATGAGAAATAGAAACAGGCATGGCCCTAGCAGTAAACCTTGTGGGACACCGTTTACCACCATACTATAAAAAGTAGAAAAAACCACACCGGTTGCTTGCGAGTGAGTCGTGACAGAACATGCGCTGTGCCCCAATATTTCAATGCTAGCTGGTAACCCTTGTAGTCCACTTAAGGAACAAGCACAATCCTGAATGCATCCGATTCAGATCCGATCTAAGTGACCGTAACGGACGAAGTTTGACTCAAGTCTCTTGATTTGGAGTGCATGTGGTAATCCAAGCACATACTTGGCAGTCTAAATTAAAAAAGTGCGTTTCCGACGAATATCACGAGCATTGCTCACTGATCTTGATGGCCTAGTGGGAAAGTTATTGACAGAAACTCAACGTTATCATGGAGTTCCTGTTTACGGAGTCGGGAATGGAACAGGCCGTGGAGTCCAGTGTCCATAGCAAGCGACTTTCAAAACGTATCGACCAGTAAATCCTACTATCGAGTTACCAGTCCATGCATTTAAAAAAGAAAATTCTTGCTATCACAGTATACATCGCCTAGAGGACTACAGAATACTTCCCTGTGATCGCTCGATTTACCCAACAAAATGTTTGGATAGACCGAGAAGTAAACAATCCATTTGTATAAATAGAGATTAAAAATTCTGCTGTGATCGTAGTCCCTGAGCAACACCAATGACTGGTGCGGTGTGCAGATACATGGTCTACTTCAGTACTGAGTTTAAGAGTAAAACGCTCGTTTCTGGTTAATAAAACTCACCAAGGGTGTTCAAGCGGGTGAACACAGCCCGTAAATTGGTGATTGCCGTTAAATTCATTCGTTCTTTGCTGTATTGCGGCCAAGCAGCGTGCATTTCACTTGGTGCAGCCATGTATGCCACCTGAAAAAAGGTATACAGCATATGAAGTAGTTATGCTGAGATAACCAAACAAGACAGTATATCAAGCCATAGCTACTGCTATGGTCCTTTACAATATTCTATTCATTCTGTCAAGACTGTAGGTATGCCGTTCATTGTGCATAGAAAAAGGGTGAGAGCCGTGGCAAGTTGATTTCTTGATCCATGTTCGTTTCACCCGTTGGGAGCACTTCTCTGGCCCCAACATTTCCTGTGGTGACGCAAAGTAGAAGATTCGGCACTTTTAAGAAAATCACTTCCAATACTAGTGACGCAACCACAAAAAACACCTTTACCGGTAATTTTATCCGAAGCGTGTACACAAGTGCATTACCAACAACATCAAACTGTCTGAAAAATAAAACCACCTTTAACCAAAAATGGTTCAGTCGTATGCGAAAGTGGTTGACCCAAACAAGACAGAGGATTCCGGGGTAGCATCATTCATTGGATAACACCGAAGTTACAGGAGGCCAAATAATCACTACCCTAATAAGTGTGCTCCTGAGTGAACACAACAGGGAAGAGCTCTCGACCTTTGTTTGCATCTAGACCATGTTTACCGTTAGCTTATAGCTTACATCGGCCCCTTGTGTTCTCCTGGGCTGCAGAAGTGACGTTTCGTTGCCACGGCAGTTCATCAAAATATATAGCCACTAAAATCAAGCCGAGATCGGCTATCACCCATGCATATCACTGTCACACAAAATGAAGATCCAAGGTCACAAGTTTAGGGTCGGCATTAGTAAGGTTTCTGAGTCATTTTGAAGGCGAAGCCTTATGTTGCCCAGTAAAATAATAAAAAAAAATAATAATGTGTCAGCTGTACGCCGTAACGGCGCTTCGCTGCCGCGCGACCACCACCAGTCGCGCGCGGGCTGGGTATACCGCGAGGACGCCCACTACATCATAGACCACAAAGTACCAAGCAAACTGATCATCCTGTTTAATGTTTCAGGTGATATCTGTACTCAGATCTGAGCCACAGACAAAGTCTGACCAAACGAATAGAAGAAATGGCCTTGTATTCCGTCGTTTCACTGATTACATATGTTTCTACATGCTACAGTCAAAAATAGAGGTCAAAACGGAACTGGACCTTAACATGGTGCGACCATTTGCGTACCTCTTCAACCCTTCGAGTAATATACTGGGGGTGCCCCTTGGGTCCCTGAGAGCTACCTTGTTAGACCGGTCAATAGTTAGAAGTCAGAAGAACTCAGTCTCTTGATCGTCCTGCATAGGTGTTGGAAATAAGATAGCGTCGGTTTCTGTAAAACTAAATAACTGCTACCAGCAACCTGTCTTGAAGATCTGCTTTTAAGAAAACGGCTTTGGTTTTGGACCCTGATCGCTCTCCTGTCTAGGTCTGGGTGCCCTGGCATATCTCAGTGCACGTAATGAATTTTAATCACTAGTTGGAAGCAGCAAGAAGAGATGTCTCTATGTAGCTGCACCTAATATGAATCAAGTACGAGGACCCGTTATGTTGCAGTGTGCTCGATATATTTTGTATCGGCAAAATATTTGTCCTGGAATTGCTTAAATTCTGACAACGATTTTGACTCAACTAGGTAATGCGGAAGGCTGTTCCATACATTCAACCCTCTCCGTTCGAAACAGAGTTGGGGGGGGTGCGACCGGCTACAAAATCGGTACTACAAGCTTGTACCGGTGTCAGAAGTGACGCATCCAGGATTCGAACATCGGCCACACGGCTGACAATCCGGTACACAGACCACCAGACTAGATTTGGTCTATTCCGGACCCCGACCATTTTAGCAAACTTTAACCCCACATATTATATTGATACGCAGCATGAAAAGGTCCACCTATTCTGCTACATTCAGCAAGGTGAGTAGGCGAAAGCATTCTACTGATTATACCGCCCGTTTTTCTCCATGTTTCTAGTGCTCTCCTTGCTTACTCTTATAGGCCTTCCTTCCATAATTATCAGATTCAGTAACAGCAGCTGCATCACTGGATTTTTGCTATCCGCAGCTATCTTCCTGCATCACCCACTAAACCCCAATCGGAAGTGGAGCCTGCTCAGGCCAGGCTATCCTGTTTGCCTAGCGGTGTTCAACGTTCTCACTCTGAGATAAATAGGTTAACAAGCTGCACTTGTACCTACGTTGAACACCCTCGGTATCGACCTCTGTCGAGTGCCCGAAACTAGCATCAATGAGCCACAAGTGGTTATTGAACTAAGCGCTCCCGGCTCATGCCCTCACTATTGATAACATGCATCCAGAGAAGCTGGTGTGGAAATCACTGCTCAAGTTGGATGGGCATCATTATCAGCTCCAAGAGTGAGTTGTCGCTGGCTAATTGGATTCCCATGAGTAGCCGTTTGTGTGCAGTCCGTTTGATGATATAAACTAAGGTTGATTCACGAGGTAGTACTAGACGCCATTGGCAACCGAGAAGTTGCCCTAGCCCTTGATCACGCAAATTTATCAGGACGGGCTGTGAATATAAATATACCCCGTAGTAGATTAGAGCTTCGGTCGCCATACACAATGCGGGAGACCCTGCTTGCGGCACTGTCAGTGGTCATCGCACTAGTCACCAGATATCTGAAAGTTCTGTGAGGTTGTTGGAATCCAGAACGCTTCTTTTTGGCTCTGAGCACAATGTAAACAGACAAACTATTAGGCGTGAACCGGAGCGGAGTCTGCTTAGTGACAAAAAAGCCTGGTCAATTAGTAAGACTCTAAAACGGAGAAGGTGAGAGCTGTAGGCGTTTATGGCAGTCTCTTCCGTTGGGTCCGCGTCACTGGTCTCGGGGAACCAAGCGCCCGTGAGGCAATCAAGGACAGCCTGGAAGACTGTCACAACAAAGACCACCCTCTAGCTACTTAAGAAGAGCCCTTTGAGAGTGGTTCATTTGACCCCCTGCTGCAGGATCTCATCCTAATCAGGTGATGCAAGCTGAATCGGTTAGGTTAGGGGATCCATCAGAGGCCGAAGTCCGAAACACGATAGCAACCCACAACCATTTTCGAGCTGTTGGTCCGGATTCCCTTGAACATTCACTATTTAAGGATGGCAGTTATGTAAGGAAGAGACAATCCCAGATAACTGGATTGAATCAACTTTAGTGGCAATATATAAGAAGGGCAGTCGCACTGACTGTGATAGCCACGTAGGTATTAGACTAACACCAATTGTGACAAAAGTACTATCCTAAGTTATCGTTCATTGCCTCACTACGGAATGGAAATACCGAATGACGGGAGCGCAGGCAGGTTTCAGCCCTGGACGGGGCAGCATAGACAGATGCTAGAGCAGCGCCACACATACCGCAGGCCGACGATAGTTGTGTTGCTGGACTCTGAGAGTGCTTTATACTAAGTCGATTAGTCCATAGTGTTCGTAGAACTTGCACGAAAAGGTGTTCCAATGAAACATGCGAACATTTTACGTGCCCCTTACCGGCTGCGTCAGGGTCTACGGCGAAATATCGGATGTTTTTCCCGCGACAAGTGGAGTTCGTCAGGATTGCACAGTTTCACCGTTTCCGTCTATCTTTGTCGCGGACTCCATTATGCAGTGTTCTCTTGCGGAATTCCGTAACGTGGGCTTTTAGGTGCTGCTGCTGAACAACTAGCTCTTAGGTTTCATGCTTGATCTCACTTCACTCCCCCTCATTCTTCTTCATTTCCTAAGTCATTGTGGTACGGTGGTACGGTAGCGAATCATCAGTTCGAATCTTTGATGTACTGCTCGTGCTGAGCATAATGCCAAAAGTAAAACGCCATCATTATCTCTCCGCAGCAACTCTTTCATATAAGTAAGCCATTTAGTCACGAAAGTTTTGCTGTTCCCACAACATTTTACGGTGGATGAACTCAATGATGTAGCCCGGCGCAAAGTTGTAAATACTGGATATACTCCAGCTTGGTAATAACAGAAAACCGGAGGCATAGAAGTACACATCGCTCACATATCAGTAACAGAACCGATTATTACTAGCGCCGGATAGTCACTGTACACAAGACCTAATTTAGGCCAAATATGGCCGGCACTGATCTCTAGAAATTCATCGCTGATACTACAGCATCGAATTCGTGTAAAATTAGCATCCGATGAGGAATTTAAACAATAACCGCGTTTTCAACACACACACACACACACACCTCTACCAGATTTCTTAAAGCAAACAGAAGAGCAGGAGTAGCGGGGCGAAGTTAAATTTGAACTATTTATTTAGACATCATAAGCTGGACGACAGTTATCCTCATTTAGAATAGACTATACCACTGTAGCGTGGAAAGCACGTATATCCGCATGAGATTACTTTCATGCTCAATGTACAAGTCTAACCGCTGAATGTGTAACATACACATCAGCTTGATGAGATATGACGTGTCACACGATACTGAGACATTCGGCTGGGAACACAAGTAGAGTAAGTTGAATCATAAAGAATGATAGTGAATGTCGCATAAACTAAAGTGACAAACTTAGACAAATAATAACCAATGTTGTAAGAAATATTGATCGTGGCATACTGCTATGCACTTAAACGTGAGTCGAAAGCCTTTTCGCATATTTTCTCTGCTTCATCATGCTGCTAATGGTGGGATTAGACTTGTTTAAATAGCTGCGTTATAATTAATGCAGCGACGTCCTCGAAACGTACAATTAACGGTGCATCTAATCCACTAATGCAGTCCGCTGAATACGCTAACCTAGTTGTGTCCTCACGATTGTTTTGACAACTGGCGAATATGATCCTATTGAGAGGTCCTAAGTAAGAACGCATGGATTCGCCTAGAGATTCGACATGCTGTTTGCTGGTCCAACGAACGGCGCGTGTGAAGCTGCTCCCAGTACCAAACGCAATCGGTAGTACCTAGTCGAGAAGTGATAAGCGTAAAACCTTGACGGGCAAAAAGAACGAGGACGAAATTATTCTGCAAATACCAAGTTTGCTGACCGGTGATGTATACTTAATGATGATGATGATGGTATAG